CAGGACGCCCGCGCGGAGCGCCCCAAGAAAGTTCCTGCTCGTGTCGTCTCGCGCCGGCGGTGGCCGCCCCTCCGCGGGGCCACCCCGTTGGCAGGCGGGCAGGCGTCGCCCCTGCGGCGGCCCCGCCGGGACGTCGCGCCGGTGTTCGCCCGCACGGCGCCGGCAGGCCGACGCCGCGTGGGTGGCCTGCCTCTCGGAGCGAGGGCGGGGGGAGAGGGAGGGAAAAGGTGGACAGGGGGGGAGGGGGCAGGAGGGGGAGGGGGAGAGGGGGAGGGCAGGAGGAGGAGGAGGAGGGAGGGGGAAGGGGGAGGAGGAGGAGGAGGAGGAGAGGAGGGGGAGGAGGAGGAGGAGGAGGAGGAGGAGGACGGAGGAGGAGGAGGAGGAGGAGGAGGAGAGGAGGAGGAGGAGGAGGAGGAGGAGGAGGGTTGAGGAGGAGGAGGAGGAGAAGGAGGAGGAGAGGAGGAGGAGGAGGGGGGAGGAGGAGGAGGAGGGGGAGGAGGAGGCGGAGGAGGAGAGGAGGAGGAGGAGGAGGAGGAGGAGGAGGAGGAGGAGGAGGAGGAGGAGGAGGAGAGGGGAGGAGGGGTGAGGAGGAGGAGGAGGAGGAGGAGGAGTAGGAGGAGGAGGGGAGGAGGAGGAGGGGAGGAGAGGAGGAGGGGGAGGAGGAGAGGAGGAGGGGGAGGAGGAGGAGGAGGAGGAGGAGGAGGAGGAGGAGGAGGGAGGGAGGGGGCGGGAATGGGGCGGGGGGGCGGAATGCTGACACATGCCGTCGAAGAAGGAAAACGCCACAAACATAATTTGGTGGCGCTCCGCGCATTTCTTGGATCTGCGCTGGGGCCCCCTGGCGGCGCCTCCGGCACCGCCCCGGGGCCCAGCGCAAATCCAAGAAATCCGCGCAGACCGTCGAAAGTTTATGTTTACGTTGTTTTTGTTTTTCTTCTAGGAAGGCTGATACATGACAGCTATCCCTTCAGCTGAACCCTCCTCTTTGCACCGTCTTCCTACCGCGGCCAACTGGCCCGACTGTGTCCTTGGGCAGGATCGGTTTGTTATCTGTCTGCCGCATGTGTTTAGGAGGCACAAGAAACAAACCACCAGATTTGTTAATGCGACGTCTTACTATTGGAGGAGGAGTATGTCTGTGAATCTGAGACTGCACCACACGACATGCTCTTCACATTCAATCAGTAACTTCCAGAAGCTGCTCAGCAAGCGACAGAACCAAGAGAGCCATCATCGGCCTTCAACTGCTGACGCCAGATCCAGGCACTAGTCTACGTGGCTCCTGTGCTCCGCCACGTGTGAATGCTGGTTGTGCTCCTACAGCGTCGGATAACAAGGACAAGCCACATACCCCTGATACTGAATGGGGGCAGGGAACAGAAGGAACCATACGACACGTAAGGCATTTTAGCGGAAATGCGCTCTGTGCCACAAACGAAGCATCAAGGCACGGCGCTTGAGAAGGAGAGTGACCAACCAAAGTCGGTTGGAGGATGAGGATTTGACAAGTCGTATGTACCTCTGCGAGTTCGACAAAGCGAGGGTCAGGACGTTGATTCCCGACCGCGAAGTCCAACCGACAGTATGGCGACGGGCCGGTATTCGACAGTCGCCTTTGGATACCGTGCTCGCAAGCATGCGTGACAGCACGGCTGCTCGGAGCATCGACGGCCTTTGCGCGACCCGTTCGGCGACGACTCGCCGTGCGGGGAGGTGGGCCGCCAGACAGAGTGCGTCACAGAGCGCGGACGTACCTTCTGGGCCGAAGAAGCGGTTGGCTTCCAGAGGCGTCATTCGAAGATGAGGTCATGGATGAGACGGTATGTTCTCGTTTTCAGCAAGTGGCGTGCTCCGGAGGAGGACGCTGAAGGATTGATAAGAGAAGGGCTCCTAAGTCAGGTATAACTATCGGCGCGACTGCGACGAGCTTTGGGAACCAGAGGCCGTTATGGCTCCGTACCCCTGTTGAACTGGGGCAGCGAAGACAACAAGGCGGTGGCCACTGCTGTCCGGAAGAATGAGTTGACGGCAGTCCAGAATCCGGCAAGTCTGTAACAGGCCGGGCTACCCTTTTGCGACCGCTGTGGCGATTTGGGAGATGATGCGTCAGGAGCAGCTGACAGACTAACCTTTTCGGGAAGGAGCCGATCATCATCCGCAGCAGCTTCGGCTTGCAAAGCGGTTCGGACACGAAGCCCAGCACAGCAGTATGTTGTGATTTGCAGCCGCAGGTCACAGATGTTTACTTCAAGTGTGTCGCTGACGTGCCAAGTGTGTGGACCCTCTTGGACATCGTGATATTCATGCGCTTGGGTGCAAGGTCGGACGTGCAGAGCGCGCTAGGGCCCTCTTTTGAAGAGTCACGTCAGATTCTGGTTCAATCTCGACCAGCATCAAGTGAACATGTTTTGACCAATTTGAGGACACACTCTGTGACTCAGCAAGAAGGCCATTTCGATCCGACTTTGGGGTACACGGGGCGGGCGACCTTGGTGCGCGGAGCACGACCCGCTGGCACTTACACGTGCTTGCTGCGGGCGACCTCGCTCAAGGTGGCGTTGACCGCGAGGTGCTTGGGCAGCATCGCACAGTGGAGGCCCATGCCAAGAAATACCCTGCTTGCCTCCAGGGCGCCCTGGGTGTCTTGGGTTTCGATGGTGTTGCTGTGGACAGCATGACGGTCCCACCAAAAATCGATGGGCGTCCTGGGGTCCCAGGGTTGGGTTTCTTGTGGAAGGTTTCTTTTGGACTGGCCCCCATTGTAAGTGAAGCAGTCTGTGTGCTGCATCTCTCCGCGACGCCGAGCGAAATGAGGAAGCTGTCGAGCTTGCGGCAGCTGCCCTGCGGACTCCTGCACGTCTCCCCATGAGCGCCACCAGGGCGCCTCGCCAAGCAGCCCGGGCCACGCGGTGTGCTCCAAGCTGTCGGGCGCGACGTTCCAGGCCGCCTCCACAGCACAGGGCCCGGCGCAGCAGGCCGGGCGCTCGCCCAGCCGCAGCACGCGAGTCCTGTTCTCGGCCAGCCGGCGGCAGTCGGGAGATACCGCTTGCAGCGGCACGATCCCACGGCGATGCCGCCCTGCACGCCGCAGCTAGCGTGGACCAGCCAGCTCCACCTCCGGGAAGGCCGCCGCCCCGCCCCTCCCCAGGCAGTCCAGCACCCATCGCGTCGACGCGCGAGCGGGCGAAGACGCCAACGCCCGCACACGGCTCGGCCAGCTTCCTGCCGCTCTATCCAGCCTCGGCCATTGGCACGCCTTCCTGGAGCTGCCGCCGGGGAGGCTGGCAGGAGACGGCGTTGGGCGCTGACGACGGCCTCGACGAGCTCGCCCTCGAGTCTCGCCGCCTCTCCTGAGGAGCCGAGGCGCCAGCGCGCCAGCCGCGACTCCGAGAGGGCTGAGATCAGCACGGCAGCCGGCGGCCTGCAGCGGCAAGTGCTTGGGGCACGCCCCCGGGGACTCTCTCATCGCAGCGGCCGGGCGATGAGCCCAGGTCGCGCTGCCCCGAGAGCTGCACCTGGACGGCCAGGACGGCGAGCTCGGCGTGGCGAAGCACCAAGAGCGGCTGGACGCCGTGCCTCTCGCCGTGCTTGCGGACCGAGCTGAGCCTGGGGCCGTGCCTCCGGCGGCGACGAGAGCGGTTGGTCCGCCTCCCGCGGCTGCGTCGCCACCGGCGGGCGGGCCCAGCGCCAGGACCAGGCACAAGTCAGCATCGTTTAACCGATCCCCATCCCCATCCCCATCCCCATCCCCACCATCCTGCCACCCCAGCTGGGGCTATGCGCCTCGAAGCTCGAAGGGAACAGCCCATACCCCGTATCAAGGGAGGTAAATCGGCCAGTGGTGCCCAGGCCATGCCCGTGGGGATAGGGATCGGTTCAACGACGCTCAACAAGGCCAGCACCACCCCGCATCTTCGTGGAGCCCCTCGCCTGCCCCATCGCGCCCACCATCCGTGACGAATTCGCGTCGAGATCCCCCTGGATCGCGTCGAATCTGCGCGAAATGCACGTTGAATTCACGTCGAGTCCGCGTCGAGCCCACGTCGAGAGAAAGAATGCAAAAGAGAAGGGCCGCCGGTTGCACCGCGGCTAGCGCAGCCGCGTTGGCCCCATCCGCTCCGCTTCGGCGGGGGGGGGGGGGCCCTGGCGAGCTCGTGCGCGCGCGAGCGTACGGGCTCGAGAGGTTGCACGATCTGCTCACGAAAGACTGCCGGGCGCGCCTGCGTGAGCACGCTCTACACCGCGCCAGGGCCACAGGCGCGAGCTGGCCGAGCTCGACCGCTGCAGCCGTCGCTCTCCGTCTGCCCGCGCCGCCCGCGGGCTCGGCCGTGACGGCCGCTCGGGCCGCGGCGGCCTCCCCCCCCTGGAGTTCCAGCACGTCGCGCTGCTGCCTTGCCAGGATGGGCTGGTTGTCTCGACGGAGCATCAGGAGGAAAGAGAGAGAACCAACAACAACAACAACAACAACAACAACAACAACAACAACAACAACAACAATTACTAGCACGTGGGGACACTCCGTTCTCACCAGAGCCAGGGTTTTCATGGGAGGCGGGCAATACCCCCACTTTGTGGGGGGGCCGGTTCAAGCTCTACCAAATTTCCAAACGACTCTTCGCCACCACCCACAACCAGCTTCCCGCCCTATGACGTTCGGACACTTCACTTCGTGGCATGCGGACGACCGTGGCTACTATTCAGGGCCCCGCGGCCGACGACGACGGCGTGCGCGCGCGAAGAAAAAAAGAATGTGTCCCGCATGGTATTATTTGACAGGGATGATGGCCCTGGCAGGTGCGCAACCGTTGTCGCAGAAGTTCGGAAAAGTTGCTCGCAAAAGCCCGTTTGACAGAAATGTTTAAAAAGTGTTGGGTTTCCTACGAATCCGCAAGAGCGCGCGGGATGAGATTTTGACAATGTTTTGTTGAAAATCCATTGGTTTTTTGATGTTTTTATGTTAAAATCGCTGCGAACACTAAGGTTTTGGAAGGATTTCGTCTTGCGCGCGCGAATGTCCACTTTACCTTATTTTTTGCAAGGGATTCTTGAAATTTGATTATATTAGAACAAGAAATGTCATTTTCTATTGTTTTTTGCAAGGGAAAGCGGATACAACAAAACAACCGGATCCTGTACACACCCTCTTTTCTGAGGCTTCCCCACGAA